GAAGACGGAGCCAGGTAGCTTGTTTGGCCGCATCGGCAGATGCCATGTATTCCGCCTCGGTGGTGGAGAGGGCAACAGTAGGTTGACGGCGGCTTTTCCAGGTGACGACTCCGCCATAGACTTTGAAAACGTAGCCGGTAGTGGACCGTCGAGTGTCCATGTCACCTCCCCAGTCGGCATCAGCATAGCCGAGGAGGATCCGCTTGCTGCAGTCACCGTCAAACATGAGGCAGAGATTGGTTGTGCCACAAATGTAGCGTAGAAGGTGTTTGGCCGCTTTCCAGTGGGACTCGTTCCATTTGCTGATGAAAGGAGAGAGGATGCCAGCGGCTCCGGCCAAGTCGGGACGGGAGACGGTGGAAGCGGAGAGGACAGAACCGACAACTTGAGGGAATGGTAGGTGTTTGGCCTCTGCGTGTTCCTCATCTGTGGCAGGAATATGTCGGAAGCCGGTTGGAAGCGGAGTCCGTGCCGGGTTGCAGTCCTGCAGGTCGAAGCGTTCCAGGACGGATTGGAAGTAGTGCTCCTGTCGGATTCTCGAATGCAATTCATGGTGAAGAAGAAGTCAAGAGTCGAGTTGGACGACTACAAAACAACGACAGGAAGTGAGAGAAGCGGAAGCAATTGGGAACCAGCTTGTCGCCAATATTTCCGACACTCCCCCACGTCCAACTCGTCTCTATTCACCTTTGACAAGGAAGGGGACAACGTACCAACGACGACATGAACGAGCAGATCTTCACTAGAAGAAAGAGAAAAACGTCTCCATTATTCTTGCCTGCTCCCCCAGCCTCAGAGACGCCAATGTGCAAGCTTCCCCAGGCCTCAGAACGCTGATGCGTCGCTGTCATAGTCGTCTTGAGCAAGAACGGCTAGGATGGCAGCAGCAGGAGCGGGCTGAGAGCCTTCCTCACGGTGAGGACAGTCGTTTGCCGAGTGCATCGAGCTGTTGCACACGTGGCACGGTTTGGCAGCCAATGGGGTTGGGCGGGACCGATTGCCAAGGTCTCAAAGACCTGGCCCGACGAGACTCGAGGACTCGTACGTCGAAACCCGATAGAACAATGCCGCACCATGTCTGCGAGCAATTACGATAGGATACTTCGGCGACATCGGACAACATGAACGTTCTAAGGACAGAGCAAATCGGACGGTCGAGAGCTCGGCGCTTATTGTTCTCTACCGAGCTCCACCAAGCCACACCAAGCCACGCCGAGCCTTATTGTTCTCCGAAGACAATAAGCAACATGTGACGAGAGACGCATATTGTTCCCTAAGGCCCGACGAGACTCGGGAACAACAACCGAAGATAGGCGGGCCGCGCCTACGCACGGAGCAAGACGGACGTGACTGGAAGTCTGGGATATAAAGGCTAGACTAGGCGACCGATAGAGACCCTTGAGAACTCCTGATTGTTGTCTCCCATAGTTCAAGTACCGTAGTCTAGATTCCCCGAGTGTAGAACAGTTTGATCCATCCATTGCCTATCTTGCCGTCGCTACTTCGACCAACCTTGTCCTAGCTACCCTACGGGTCCTTAGGACATTCGAGCTGAACGCCACCACGACTCGTTTCAGGTCGACAAGACCCGCCGAGCCGAGCCGCTCCTGGGAGTTGGACTATATGGGTTCCTTGTTGGTCGACGTAGCTCCCTGACACAAGGTGAACACGCTGTTTCGAGCTGTGAGGCGTTGCCGAGGGTGTCTGATTCGCTGTCACATGATTGTTGCCCGGCATTGATGCGGAGAATCGTGTCGCACACAGAATCGATCGTGGGCGAGTTGGCAGCGGTCCAAACGGTGTTGACAAAGGCCTGAAAGCGTTCAGGGAGACCGGTGAGGAGCACATTAACGCAAAGAGAGTCGAGGTCAAAAATGAGAGACTTCACCTCGCTGTACTGAGCCTTGATCTTGCTGACCCATGCGTTCACATCTTCCCCACAGCGGTTGTCAATGAAGCGATGGCCAAGAGCGAAAGTGTATTGGGCGTTTGGAGCCGTAGGCCTTCTGGAGCTCGTCATATAGCGACTGGGTTCATGTGGCTTGATGTGGAGCAGGGCGAGTAGACTTGTCAGAGCGTGAGGAAGTGGGAGCGTCCTCAAGGGGGTAGAAATAGGCAGATGATATGCTGAAGTCGGTGCAGTCGATAATTGAGTTCGCAACTTGCGTATCCTGCCCCTCCCAGGCCTTGCGATCGGCCTCTGAGGTGAGGGCTGGTCTTCCCGCAAGGAGAGACCGCAATCCGACAATACCGAGGGCGACCTTGATCCTCATGTCCCATTCCACCCAGTTCTCCTTCCCCTGTAGCTTTGGAACGCTGAGAAACACCCTCGAGATTTTCTCCCACCGTGAGGACATCTTGAGCGAGCAGCTTGTCGGCAGGCAAGATGGGTGTGAAGATGGAGGGGGAAAAGAAAGTCGAGGTGAAGATTTTAGCTTGGCTCTAGTCAGGCCAAGCGCTCGATTTTGGGTCGAGGGTCCCTGCGGCCAGGTATGGACGGTTCCGCGCAGCTCTTGCCAGGCTACGTGCCTGAGAGCGTCGGTCAAGGTTCCCTATGGCTAGGTGCGGACTGGTTGGCTTGTCAACGGCTTGACACAGCGTCTCGAGAGCAGTCGGTCAATTTTGTCCCTTTGGCAAGTGACAAGGGACACGTTTGATATCGCAGGAGTCAGCCTGCGGAGCAGAGAGCAATCAGAAGGCTAGCACGGGCTCATAACCTGTCGGATTCTCGAGTGCAATTCATGGTGAAGAAGAAGTCAAGAGTTGAGTTGGACGACTAAAAAACAGCGACGGGAAGCGAGAGAAGTGGAAGCAATTGGGAACAAGCTTGTCGCCGATATTTCCGACACTCCTGCGAGATGTAGAGTTTCCATGTAGCACGGTCCCGGTAGATGTTGAAACCCAGAAAATATCCGGCTGGTCCAGAGTCAGAGCATTCGAATTGGGCATTGAGTTGGCGTTTGAAGTCGTCAAGTGCGGACCGATTGTTGCAAGCGATGAGTTGGTCATCGACATGAACCGAGAGCATGAGGAATTCGTCTCCCCTGCGGCATGAGTAGAGACAGGGGTCGGGGTTTGGACGGAGTGAGACCTTGAGACTTGAGCCATTTGTCAAATGCTTTGTTGAAGCAGTGTGGTGATTGCTTCAGACCGTAGAGAGATTTGCGGAGGTGAAGGATTTTGTTGGCGGGGATGTCGCTTCCCTCTGGGGACGAGAGGTAGATTGTCTCTTCAAGATCACCGTTAAGAAAGGCTGCTTTGATGTCGACTTGATCGCGTTCGAGATCCAGGTGGTTCAGATCCAGGTGGTTCACCAGAGAGAGAAAAACTCGGATGGTGTCCTTGTGCATGACTGCACCATAGAGATCATTGAAGTCAATTCCTTCTCGTTGCGAGTAACCTTTAGCAACCCGTCGAGCCTTGTAGCTGGAGGGCATCCCGGTGTTGCCATCAATCTTGCGCGGGTAGACCCAGCGTGCTCCAACCACTCGCATGTTGGGTTGGCGGTCCCCGACTTCCCAGACCTTGTATTGGTCCATCTTGGCGAGTTCCGCAACCATTGCCGGTTTCCAATGTTCCCATTCGCCCGATGCTTTGGCCTCCCGGTAAGACAACGGTGCAGATGCAGTGAGTGCGTGTGCGAGGTAATTGAATGGGTCCTCAGTGTCCGTGAGCGCAAGAGGATCGTCCGAGTTGGTTTCTGAGTCCGATACCGAGTCGCTGGAAATTGGTGGGGACGCATCTGAAATTGGTGGGGACGCATTTTAGGCGAGTTCCAGCCCACAATCCGTACATTAACGTATTTTAGTGGTTAGCTCCTTCTTTCGACATTGCTTCATATTGTATACGTTCTTGTGGCACGTCTATAGCCCACATCATAAGGGCCATGAGGGCTTGTCATAGTCCTCCTAAAATCATCCTTTATCAGGATGAGACTGCAAGGTGTAAACTCACAGCGAGGATTGCCTTAGTTCAACGGAATTAACCTTAGGCCTTACGAGCACTAACTGGCGACAGCCATGCAGCACCTGTACTCTACGTCTATTACAGACATTGTAGGTATGCAAGATGTGGTAAGATTGTACGCGGGTTATCGTATTAAATAACATGCTTCACTCCGTTTGCTTACGGGCGGTCTAATTATTTGTATTTCAGCCATGCGACTATACTATACAGGTGGCAGATTTAACGCGTTAACATCGAGACTAGTTAGACATAACTAATCTCTAATCTGCATCGTTTACAGCTAGGAGTACTGGGGTCTCTAATCCCTATTCATGCCCTAGCCTTCGTACCTTACCGTCAGTCCTTATCTAGTAAGATGCTTTCGCCATTAGCTCTCCCCCTAGTATTATAAAATATCAGCCCTACTCTAGGTATTGTTCTTACTTCTATTGGACTCTAGTAACTTGATGTTACCAGCTACGTACCCTTTACACCAATTCATAATTCCGATGGGTTGCCCTTTCTGTCTTACCGCGTCTGCTGGCACAGAATTTAGACAGGACTAATAGAACTTAGATCATCATTCAAAAGTTCGTTATAGATCATGGTGAATCTAATCTAGGTTACTGGTTCACACTTTAGTGCATTGACCAATATTCTTCACTGCTGCGCATCGATTGATGCTTTGGACTTTTTCATTTCCAATGTCGAGTTTAAGACTCTCATCCTACTCTTCCCATTATCGGCTTGTTAAGCATTACCTCACCAACTACCTATTAGGCATTGAGTGAATCTTAAGACGGAATTAACCCTTTTGTATATTCATGATTTGCATGATTCTTAAGGTATCTTCTCAATGATACTGACCAGTATGCCATGGTTACACTAATGTACCCATACAACTTGCATGTGTTAAATACCTAGATACCCATCCGGACGTGCCATAATTAAACACTTACTTTAAATACCTTTTAGGCTTGAGTGATAAATCTAAAACTTTTCACTTTATTGTATGTCATTTGACATAGTTCGCTTTTATAGTATACTTATTCTGACGGATTAAAAAGGATTCGAACCTCTGAATGCTTGCGCATTACCGTATTTCAAGTACGGCGCCTTAAACCACTTGGCTATTAATCCCTATATACTACTGCTTTTAGATAATATTTAAATACTGCGGGGATTATATGTATTATGTTATTGATATATTATAGTTTAGTAATGTACACTCGTGTAACAAATAGTTGTACGAAGTATGGTAGTACATAGACTGACATAACGTATGTGATTGTGAACAGTGCTGCTAGAGCAAATGTGATTTGGTTCACAAAGTAGAAAGGTAGTAGTTGTGGCATAAAATTTGTCTAATTATTGTATTACCTCTATATTAAGAGCTGTCTTTTAAAACGTAAATTATTTAATCGGGGGTTAGAGAATACTGTTATAACAGTAAATAATCAAGATAATACTTGAGACATAGAAGGTGTTAATCAACTATGAAAGTAATGTCTAACATAGAACTAAGATTGTACAGGCATCATGTGGTATGCGTGGTATGGAGTTGGGCTTGGTAGTGTCCATTCTAGTGTTGGACTTGAAGGTGATTCTTTAAGGTACACTGGTGTACTTGTGAAGAATGCTGGAACTCCCCATGGGTTAGCTGCAGCTGCTGGTTGGTTAACTAGCATATCGTAGACTACATATAGGAAGATAGCTGTAGCTACTACTGAGATGATTGAACCAATTGAACTGACGTAGTTCCATCCTTCGAATGCATCTGGGTAGTCAGGAATTCGTCGAGGCATTCCGGCCAGTCCAAGGAAGTGTTGTGGCATGAATGTTGTGTTAACACCAACGAACAGTGTCCAGAAGTGGATTTGTGCTAGTGTTTCATTGTACATTTTTCCTAGGATTTTTGGTCCCCAGTAGTAGAATCCAGCGAAGATTGAGAATACGGCTCCCATTGATAGAACATAGTGGAAGTGTGCAACTACGTAGTAAGTATCGTGCATTGCAACGTCCAGTGATGCGTTAGCTAGGACTACTCCTGTTAGCCCACCAATTGTGAATAGTGCTAGGAATCCTAGAGCGAATAGCATAGGAGCTGTGAATCGCACTGATCCACCGTAACATGTAGCAAGCCATGAGAATACTTTAATACCTGTAGGAACAGCAATGATCATTGAAGCAGCTGTGAAGTAGGCTCGTGTATCTACGTCAAGTCCAACTGTGTACATGTGGTGAGACCATACAATAAATCCTAGAATACCAATAGATGCCATAGCATATACCATACCTAGGTATCCAAATACTGGTTTACCTGAGAATGTTGAGATTACGTGTGAGATCATACCGAATCCTGGAATGATCATAATATATACTTCAGGGTGCTTCCTCTTGTATAAGAGGGTGGACTATAACATCTACTTGTCCCATTTGGCCTTGAATGATAGCCATTCATTATGGTAAGGGTTATCTGATTTGAATGCGCCTAAGTCACGTAAACGAAAGTATTTTTCTACCAGGAAGAATCGTTGTGATTTATGACTTCGACAGTTAGCTTTGAAGTAATTTAGTACACGAAGTACATCAGAACGACTTTGTACTGACCATTGATAGTAACCGTTTTGACTAGAGTCAAAATATACGTAACCTCCAAAATAGCTTTGAACCATTCTACATCTTGTAGTAATTTGTTAGTTACTCGAACACTTAGTTGCGGTACTAGGTTTTTGATACTGAATGTAATTGTACCATCAGCATCAAAGAATCCTCCAAACCAAGGTGAAGTAGAATAAAGTGGTAATGGTCCTACTAGGGAAATATCAAGTTGTTGACATACCCGATGTAGTTGTAATACTCGTCCTGAGTGTCGAATGTAGCCATTGATAGAGTTTACTAGAGTAATCATACCTTTCATATTGTGTAATCGGTATCGGTAAGCTTTCACACCAGATCGTAATTTGATGCTTCCACCTAGAATACTTTGGATATATTGTAATAGAGGTAAGTCCTCAACTCCCATAGTAATTTCAAGGCTAGTATAACCTTGTTTACTTACTAGTAGACTACCATCTCCGTCAATTACTCCGGCTAGCCATTCAGAAAAACCTTTAGGGAAAGTAGCTGCGCATTTAGTCTCTGAGGTTCCTACTAGACTGCTTTTGTAGCGTCGTTGGTTACCTGCTGATTGTGTTGAATCACTAACATTTTCACTCATTTGAGGAATATATAACATACCGCAAAGAGTAGTTAGTAATGATAAACAGTTCCAGCATACAGCGCAGTTCATATTAGGATTTACATCCCAATCGGGCCAAAATAAATAACCGAAGAACCAGAATAGGTGTTGGTATAGAACAGGATCTCCCCCACCTGCTGGGTCATAGAATGAAGTGTTGAAGTTTCGATCTGTTAGAATCATTGTAATAGCTCCAGCTAGAACTGGGATAGCTAGGATAATCATAACTGATTGCAGTAGCATAGCCCATGCGAATAGTGGCATTTTGTGTAGTGTCATACCAGGAGCCCGCATGTTAATAATTGTTGAAATGATGTTAATAGCACCTAGCATTGATGAAATCCCTGATAGGTGAAGTGAGAAGATAGCTAGGTCAACTGAACCTCCAGAGTGAGATTGTACTCCAGCTAGAGGAACGTATAGAGTCCAACCTGTTCCTGCCCCTTGTTCTACGAAGGCACTGGCCAGTAGTAGGATAATAGCAGGAGGAAGTACCCAGAATGATACATTATTTAGTCGAGGGAATGCCATATCTGGAGCTCCGATAAGTACAGGAACCATATAGTTAGCAAACCCAGCCATTGTAGGCATTACCATGAATAGAATCATGATAAGACCGTGGGCTGTAATGATCACGTTGAATAATTGGTGGTCTCCTGCTAGGAATTGGCTACCTGGCGCAGATAGTTCTAATCGAATAAGAATTGAGAACGCAGTACCTAGAAGACCTGTGAAGATCCCGTAAATTAGGTAAAGAGTCCCAATGTCTTTTGCATTAGTTGAGAATAACCATCGAGTAATCATATTGTTATTCCACCTATGTCCTCATAAGCAAATTACCTCTATGTGTTTTATTTCATCTAAGATGAACAAAGTTAGAGGTGTTCATAACAGGACATTTAGTCCTGTACTTTTAAATGGAATGAAATATAAGTATTAAAATATTTGAACACTTAAGAAAATGAATTGATCTATATTTATAGCTGATATTTATAGCGAGTGGTCTCGTGCCACTCTGTGGATCTCCTCTCACTCGCCCCGCTCGTTAATATTAAATGGCTTATGCCTTCTTCTTGATTCTTTACTAATCTTTAATACTTGGGGTACTTAACCGTTATTTCGATGGTGGAGAGTGGAGCTCGTACCGACTTCACCGATAGGTGCCGGGAGGTCGAGCGGTAGCATTCATCTCTTTTAGCCAACCCCTTAGTACCGCTTTTAGTGATATTTATAAAATAATTTATAAGAACAAGAACTTTTCCAAGAGTGAATAAAGTCATATGAACGGGGATTAGAAATGAAAGATTAAGTATGTAGGTGTATTAGAATACACCCTCTGAACCCCACCAGTAAACAGCGGCGTATAGGAATAGCCAAACTACGTCAACGAAGTGCCAGTATAGAATTGATGATTCTAGTCCCATGTGGTGTTCTGCAGTGAAGTGGTAAGCAATAATTCGGTAGAATGCTACAGCAATGAAAATAGTTCCGATAATAACATGGAATCCGTGGAATCCTGTTGAGAAGAAGAAACATGATCCGTATACTACATCAGCAATTGTGAAATCAGCATCCATGTATTCGAACCCTTGTAGGCCTGTGAACATAACAGCTAGAAGGATTGTTAGACCTACACCAAGAATAGCAGCTCGTCGGTTTCCTTCGATAAGTGCGTGGTGTGCGTATGTAACTGTTGCTCCACTTGATAGTAGAAGAATTGTGTTAAGTAGAGGAACTGTCATTGGGTTTAGAGCAGTAACTCCAATAGGAGGCCATTGTGAGCCTAGTTCTACTGTAGGAGCTAGTGATGAGTGGAAGTATGCCCAGAAGATTGAGATGAAGAAGAATACTTCTGTTACGATGAATAGTGAAACACCCAGTGTTAGATTTTTTTGTACAATCAGTGTGTGGTCTCCTAGGTATGTACCTTCTGTAGTTACATCTCGGAACCATAGAATGAATGCGAATAGTGTTGCAAGGAACCCTAATGTAAGTAGAGTAGATCCGTGAGCAATACCGTTAAAGTAAAGAACGGCACCAATCATCATAGATAGAGAGGCATTAGCTGTTAGAAGTGGCCAAGGACTTGGTTCTACTAGATGGAATGGGAACGCTTGGAATTGGTATCGTGGTGTTGATAGAGCTGTCATAATATATGCATAAATTACTAAGTACGCAATTAAGCGTTAAATCAGTCATAGTTTAAACACTATAACTATAGCTACAGAATGTCCTTATAAAGTTATAAAGACTTCCTTGCTTACTTTTAGATGACTAATGAGTTTAGTGTATAGAGTGTTCAAATATTTGAACACTCTATTCAAGATAAAAGCATAACATAATATGGACATTAGGTGTAAGTAATCAAAGTGATTGTTAGGGATGCCTAGCGAGCATTCATTGAAAGGAGGTGGCAACACCAAAAGCTATAGTATAACTGATATCTATAGCGATCCTAAGGTAAACCATATATATAGTACGCAGCAAACTGAAACATCTAAGTAGCTGTAGGAAAGGAAATCAACCGAGACTTCAGAAGTAGTGGTGAGCGAAACTGGATTAGCCTATTGACTTATATTACAACAGAATGCCTTGGAATAGGTAATCCGAAGAAGGTGATAGCCCTGTATGTTGTAAATAGTGTCATTAATATCAAGTAGTGTGAGAGAAAACTTGCATGAAGATTGGGGGACCATCCTCAAAGGCTAAGTATGAATGTTCAGCGATAGTGAAGAGTACCGTGAGGGAAAGGTGAAAAGAGCGTCGATGACGAGTGAAATAGATCCTGAACTAGCAATCATACAAGCACTTAAAGCATAATCCCTCCCTAGAGGAGGACTAAAATGTAATAAGGTACCTTTTGTATAATGGGTCGGCGAGTTTATAGTAGTAGCAAGGT